ATATGGTTATTGTTGTTGTTGAAGATTTATTTAGCATTAATATGTCAATGTCAATTTTGTATAATGATCCGGTTACATATTTTTCTTCAATCCATTTTCTGTAATTTTACATTATTGTCTATTAAAATTAAAATTACGTCACTATGTATTATGATTATTCATAAAGTGATTTTTTAATTTCACCTTAAACATTTGTAAATTCAAACCCTGTTTATTCAATTTATTAAATTCAAATACTCCTTTTGAAATATAGATTTACTATTTATACTACTATTACAATTTTGCAGATGAAAATCTATACTGCCTCTAGTTTCTTAGTTATGATAATGACTATTTAATTTTGTGAAGTTCCCTAAATGTGGTGGTAATAAATGATTTTTCAATTTGAATATGAAAACGAGAACTAAATAGTATATGAAATTTTTCACATCCAACCACTGCAGTTCTTCTAACATAGACTTAATCCTAGTATATTTGTTTTTATTTAAAATGATTCTAATAGCTATATTTTGTAGAATTTGTAATTTTGAAGATACGTTTTCATTTGCTGTAAACAAGATGGTTGAACAATAGAAAAAATGAGGAAGAATTATAGTGTTATACACAATTTTTTTGGAATACATACTAAGATTATGGGAAACTCTATAGAAGCGATTTATCTTTTTCGATATTCTTGAAATAATGTATTCATAATGTTCGTGAAACAGTAGCTTACTATCCACATATATACCAAGATATTTAAATGACTCGACCGCTTTAATTTTTTCATCACTAATCATGAGCCTAATTGTATTGTCACCTAAATGTTTCCCTATTGACATACATTTTGTTTTGTTAGTTTTTAATTTAAGTTTATTCACATTTAGCCAATTCATAATTTTTTCAATATCACTAGTTAACTGTTCTAAAGCAGTGTCCAAATGTTTATCTGCTATATATATATAAATATAAGTTACAATATATATATATATAGGTGAAGAATTCAAGCTTCCGCCTTTTGTTGGGTACTTACAAAATTTAAGCAAAGAGGACTCTTTATACTTTTTTAATTCTCTCTAGCTTTCAATGGACTTTGCCATCATCATCAGGAGCTGCAATTACAATGATAACAGTAGCAACAAAAGTGTAAAATGAATTTAAATTGACTCAACTATGTGAGGATGTTGCTAATTGTTGTTTACGTATAGGATGAGGGAAACGTCCGGTAACATGGTGAGAGCTGGATAGATGGTACAATGGTCAAAATTATATAAAATATGACAAGAACAACTTAAAGACAGATTAAAAATTATTTAAAAAACATTAGAGCATTACATAGTGACATATAAATCCGAACACCCAGTTTAAATGGTTTTATTTTAATAAAATTTGGTGAATGTATTTATCTTACTGTAAATAACAAGAGCAAAAATTTTTAGCCTTATCAGTTGGACATTCCGGTTTTTATACTGCTTTTTTTTAATTCACTAACGCTCTAAAAATGAATATTTCAGCCGCAGTAAAGAATCAACGTTGGCGGATTTTGGTTCTTGACATCCTTTACGATCGGTTACGATGCCTAGAGTACGGAGACCTGTACGATTTCGTCAACTTAGTGAGTTTGATAGGGGCCGTGTAGTGGGACTTCGGGAAGCTGGACTTTCTTTTCGGGCAATTGCAGTTAGAGTGCAAAGAAGTGTAGACACTGTGGTTAGGTGTTGTCAGGCATAGCTTCGAGAAGGCCGTACGCAAAGAGCAAGGGGCACTGGACGCCGCCGTAGAACACCAGACCGTGAAGATCGCCGGCTAAGATTATTGGCCTTAAGGGACCGTTTCTCCACTACCAGGTCCATTGCAAATGAATGGTTTGCAGAACACGGAAGACCTATTGGCATGCGAAGTGTTTACCGACGAATAAGAAGTTTTGGCTTGTTTTCATACCGGCCACACTGGGTCCTCCCTTTAACTCGAGAACACCGACGTAATCGCCTTGAGTGATGCAGACAACGGTCACTCTGAGATCAGGAATGGAACAGTATTGTCTTTAGTGACGAGTCTCGATTTTGTTTAGGCATGCACGATGGTCGTGCCAGGGTTAGAAGACGACGATAATGCCCGACCACATGTTGCAAGAGTCACAATAGACTTCTTTCAACATAATGATGTCACATTGTTACCAGGGCCACCAAGATCTCCCGACTTATCCCCAATTGAGCACGTGTGGGATATGATGGGTCGGAGATTGCTCAATTTGCAACGTCCTCCTCAGACTCTAGAAGCTCTTCGAGAGGAGCTGGTGGTTGCCTGGAAAGAGATACCATAGGAGGACATTGACCACCTGATCAGAAGCATGCCTAGGCACGTTGGAGAATGCGTAGCACATCAGGGTGCATCCACACATTATTAAAGGTCAAAGAGCTTTAAAGCAGTGCAATCATTTTGAAATTTTTATCATTTACTTATTATGCTTCATTAAGTACTTATACAAAATTTTATTAAAATAGAACCATTTAAACTGGGTGTTCGGATTTATATGTCACTTAGTATATTTGAATTAGGCAGTGTTCTAAAATATCAGAGATATCATTTATATAAATAATAAGTAGAACGGCCCTAATTTACTCCCCTGTGGCATCCCTACTGATATATTTTGAGCACTTGACATAATATTTCCAACTTTAGTTTTTTGACTTCTATTTACTAAATAATTTAGTAAAATGATCCTTTAAAGCTATAGTGACGCAATTTCATTAACTATTTTTCAGAATCTCTCAAATGCCCTTTTGAAATCTAAAAATATTGTTACAATATATTCTTTCTTATCTATACTTTTTCTCCAGTCTTCCACCACTGTTTGGATTGCCGTTTCTGTGGAATTTTTTTTTCAAAATCCAGCTCGTTTTTTATTAAAATTTTGGTTTCTTCAACGAATTCTATAAATTGTTCGTATATGATCCATTCAGCTTCTCGACATCGGGCAAGACATTAATGGGTCGCATATTTGTATACAGCTGAGAATTTTGAACTTTTGGCACAGGAGTAATGGTGGAACACTTTAATTTTGATGGGAATTCACCCTGTACTAAACAATGATTGACCAATAATAATAATTTCACTCGAATTATATTGAAACAATCATTTAGAATAATTTTTGAGAGATTCTTATTTGGATTTTTATTAGATTTCAATTTTGAGATAGCTTTTCTTAGATTGTTGATGTTAATTGTCCTAAATTGCTTCATTGATGAATACTTGCAATGGACATAAGCTTGGATCACCGTCATCAATCGTCTTCACTATTTGATTTACACTTTCTATAAAATAAGTATTAATTCTTTCTGCTATAATTAATTTGTCTGTCACTACCCCATCCTCGAAACGCATTTTAGATAGTTCAGTCATTCTATTAGGAGAAACAATATTCTTTGATGTTTTCTACATCATTTTAAAATTATTTTTATTGCTATCGGTCTTCGTATCATAGTATTTTTTATTTTCCCTCCTGAGAACTGCTACACACTCATTTCTTGATTTTGTATATTGTCTCCAATCATTTTCACTTTGGGTTATCGAAAATTTTCTGTAGTCGTTAACGCGTTTTAATTTAGACTCCTTGAATATCTGTGAAAATCAGGGTGTTGCGACTTTGAGATATATTTTCTGAAAGAACAGGAAAATGCCTGGTATCGCCATAGATTAAGCTTTGTTCCCAAAACTCAAGCTCTTTGATAAACTAAGTTCATTTAATTTTTCTGCAATATCCACAAGAAAACTAAAATGTCTAAGCCAGATTGAATTTTCCAGTTCCGGAATCGGTTCATCCCGTTGTTTAAAAAATTGAACCATGGCAGATATGATATCATTAAAACGTTCCAGCACTCGTCCTCTACTTAATCATCGGACTTCAGAGTGAAGAAGTAGTTCCTCGTATTGACAGTCAATTTTATCGGCCAAGGTTTTTGAATAATCTTCTTTGTAACGCTTGAGCTCTAATCTTGTTCACAATTCTTACTACCAATTTCAAAATGTTGTTCAGTTTTAGAAAATGTCCACATAATGCTTGCTGATGGATTACGCAGTGGTAACAAAGAAATTGCGGAAAACTTTCATCTTTACGACATAACCTCACGATACCCTTATCACGACCCACCATAGCTGGAGCGCCATCGGTTGTCAAGACTATCATTTTCGATAATGGAATTTTCTCAGAAGAAATAATTTTTTTAAAGAAGGAAACAAGACCTGTAGTAAAACCATCCTGACGAACACGGCCATCTGAGAGGTATCAGCGACATCTGCGGATTCATACAGATGCAGTGAAAAATAGGCACACTTATTGAAGCCATTTCTTAACCGTACAACTATATCATTGCTCATTACTTCTACACGTCTCATCACTGTATTAGCAGATTTTATAGCAGACACCTCTAAGCTGAAACGAAGCGCACCCCTGGCTTTCATCGGATCAAGGAATACTTTTACAAGTTACATTCATTTCTAAGCCAATTTAGCTTCTTGACTTATTTCACACCGAGCAACGGTTTGTCGTAAAAAAAAACAGCATCAAGAAAATAAGGTCTGTTACGGAAGAATATGTGGGGAACCATGTTATTCTTTGAAACTCGCTTTGGTCTAAAATGACAACACCTATATCTGAAAAATCCGCACATACACTTATGAAGCTTTTCTTTTCATTTGTATTCAGCTATCCGAGGTAACCTGCAAACTGTCGTCAATCTAATCCTTCTAAACGACGTTGTAATTTTTTAATAAGCAGTCAGCTTGCTTTGATCCCAATTTTCAATAATCCTTGGGAAGCTTTTTAAGCACCACTTAAATGTTTGAAAACATCCATTTGGTTACACATAAAATTTGTAAACATACTCCTTCATTATTCGACTTCCTTAGCTCTTCCTAGTAGTTTATCAAAATCAAATGATCCCTTGGGTGCGATTAACAAGCGTTTAGCTATACTACATCCGATCGACTGATGAGTCAATTAGTTAAATGTAATACATTACCTGTCCTTTACGAAGTTTGCCCACATCCTTGTCAATCTTCTCCTTGTAAGGCGATCCCTGTCTGAGATGCTGCCAGTCTCTTTCTTGAAGAGGAATTGTAGCTCGGCACCATGCATTACACCTACACAGTAAAATTGATAAGGAAAAGCCAAAAAAATTCATTGTGTAATTAAAATTTGTCTAAAATTACTAATGGTGGGCAATTCACTAAGAGTATATACAGGGTGACTTCGAAGTTGAGTCATTTATTTTAACAGTGAGTAGATCTGATCAAAAGAAATGTTTTTTCCTATAACATTTTTCTGGTAAAATTAAAGTAACAAAGCTATAGCCCTTTAGAAGTTTGAGTACCGCCCTGTCTCAATAATAATATTATGTGCTCGTGTTTGGCAACAACGGATATAATCCGCCTTATCGGTTCATCGCATCGGAAACAAAAAAGTGAATTTGAATTTGAAACGCTTATCACGATGTTTTTACTACAATTTTATTCAGTTGTATTCAGTCAATGTGTCAGTCGGTAACGCGTGAGTGAATAGTGGTGTTTGTTGCGTTTCTCAAATGAAATAAAAAATGGCACACACACAACTTGTGGACGTGATTCTTATTTACAAAATGCTGTCGCGGCATCACGGATTTATGCGGATCGGTTTCCCAATCGAGTGTAACCAACCCCTCGTGCCTTTGTTAATGTAGTACAAAGGGCTCGTGAATCAGGTGACTTAAGACCTCACAGGGGAGAGCATGCCGGTGCTCCAAGACCGCACGATCAAATAGAACTAGAAGAACAAATTTTAGAATAAGTAAATGATGATCCAACAGTAAGCACCCGACAAATTTCAACTCAATTGGCGATTAGTCAATATAAAACTTGGAAAACTCTACGTGAAAATCAGTTCTATCCGTTTCACATACAAAAATTGCAGGCCTTACAACCGGAAGATCATGAACAAAGGGTTGAATTTTGCAATTGGCTTTTAAATAAACATCAAAATGATGACAATTTTTTAAATCAAATTTTAGTGAGTGATGAAGCCCTCTTTACTAGAAACTATTAATTCACGTAATTCTCACGTTTGGGCTACTGAAAATCTCCATGAAATAAGGGAAACCAATTTTCAACAGCGATTTGAACCAATCAACCTGTGGGCTGGAATTGTTAATGGAATTTTAGTGGGGCCTTTTGAATTACCAAATCGCTTAACTGGTGAAAATTATCTTGATTTCTTGCAACACAATTTGCCTGGTTTACTGGAAGATGTGCCTTTAAATTTTAGACAAAACATGTGGTTTTTACAAGAAATGTGCGTGAATTTTTAAATAGACAATTTAATAATCGTTGGATCGGCCGTGGCGGCTTTGTACCTTGGCCGCCAAGGTCTCTGGACTTAAATCCTTTAGACTTTTGTTTGTGGGGTTGGCTAAAATCTCTAGTGTATAAAAGACCGGTTAATACACGCGAAGAATTACGTGCTCGAATTGAGGAAATCAGTACAGTGATCAGAAATCAACCATTGATTTTATTGCGTGCTTGTAAAGAGACATGGCTAAGTCGCACCCAGCTCTGCGTCGAGCAAAACGGAAATCATTTCGAACAGTTTTTGTGACATGCTTTTGGGCGCACAGGTCCGCACTGAGATACTTGTCGGGAGGATACTTTATAAAACAAGGTAAATTTTTTTTTATTTTTACACGCATATTTTGGTTTATCTTCCTTCTACAATTATTATCTGAAAATTAATGACTCAACTTCAAAGTCACCCTGTATCTTCAGATAGATAATGTTGAGGGTAACACGACTGTAACGACCTAAAAAAAGTATTTTATTATTTTTTATGGTGGAAAAAATTGTGATAACATTATAATATTGGAGGAAGTTATTAAGCATATATTTAAGTAAAAATAATGAAAATTATCATGAAGAAATATTCAAAAATAAAAAACCAAATTTAGCAATATCTTTAAATAAACATTTTTAAGAGAAATGAGGTTGTGCTTTTTCTCATCAAGCCCTTTTGTTTGATATCCATGTCGTGGGAGTGACGCTAAAATATGTGAATTGCCATTTTGCGGCAGTCACCGTATTTTATCTAGAATGACGTCACTTTGCTTATTGTGTTTCCTTCAGCAAGCCCTGTCATTTATTACCTACATCACAGAGGTTATCATGGAAATGATGAATCGCAATTTTGTAATATCCGTCGTATTGGATCCTAAGTGGCAGCAGTATTGCCACGTAACCACAAGTGTGTACAAAATTTCAGCTCAATTGGTTGAGGCTAACTGGTTCAAAATTCAGTTCGAAGATTTGTCCCACACATACTTCCATACCAACGTACGAACTGGTCAAGTTAAATGACATCTTGTATAGAACGAAGTCTGAGCGATTTATATTTTTTTGATTGTTGTTGAGCTGACTTTCATAAACTATAAAAACATAATATATATCTCATTTTATAAATTTTTATATGTACGCTGCATTAGAAACTACTCGTGAAAGTAATTGAAGCCCCTGAACACTCTTGCTCTACGTTTTGGGATCTACAACATACTATTTTTGCAAAAGTTAGCCGAACATCATTTTCCAGAAGCTTTCTGTTGGGTCTTAGGCCTCTTTCTAAAAGTCTTGCTATTCAGACTAATAACCTCACTGCTTAAAAGGTCCTTCAAACCACACCCATTCATTTTCAGTTTCAAGAAAACATAAATCTGGTACAATCTTGTTAGTGGCCACTTCGCCAGTGAAATGAAAAAAATTGAGTAGGCTGTGTAAACATTCTTTAGTAATTGATATCTTCTATTGAAGCACTCAAAAGGCAGTGCCTTCGAAAAATCCAATCAGGTACATCAATCTCGACATATCGAAGGAAGAAGTCTTCATGGACGAAACCTGAGTTTTCTTATGATCACTTTCATATTGGCTCACATTTTCACATACCTGCATATTTGCTATCACCTTTTCCAATATCATCCCCTTCGTAGCTGAATTCGTAGAAGTAGACAGGTACATGTTTACTCGTTTGCCTTACGAACTCTCTGATTGGCCTGACAAACTGTGAGTCACTGATATACTAAAAACAAGAAAACATTTTAGAGCTTTTGGCAGTTTTGTCTTCGACGTCATAGGAAGTAAGTAAACAGATCGAGTAACTGCACCATTTGCGGAGCTTAGCTTTTATAGGGAGGTAGTAAATACTATTAATGAATTTGTCTTTAAACTACGAGCCCCTTCCCACTTCAGTTGACCCAACTATTGAAATCTTAGTTTTTTCTTATCAAACACAAATAATAAAAATGTAGGAGGGTGTTATAGGTTTAAAATATTAACAATGAATATTTTGATAATATATAGTAGAAAATACCAACTTTATCACTCCCTAATCAAATGTGCTGCATAAAAATAACACATGTTCCAATTACAGCATATCAACCTATTTTCATTTAAATGCAAAATAAGTCTATAACGCATAGGTGGCTGTGAAAAATAAAAGCTATGACAATTGTTTTTATTAAGCACAGCTGTCAGAATACGTTTAAAATGGTTTTGGGTAGTTAAGGTTTTCAAAATGTGTAGAGGAAAGGTTATTAGTGAGAAAATTCGGTTACTGATAATTAATTTTTTTAATTCTGGTAAATCAAACTCAGAAATTGCAACTTTGTTAGACTTATCGCAGTACAGTGTGAGAAATATTGTTAGAAGAAATAACGTAACTGGTTCAGTTAATATTAAGCCACGATATGTGAAAAAAAGGAATATCACAAATGCCGACCGAAGAGCATTAAGAAGAATAATCGTGAAAAACAGGCCTGCCAATTATTTACAATTAAGTGCTCTGTGGAGTGACGCTGTTGGAAGGAGAATTTCGAGGTCCACAACTCATAGAGAGGCCCACAAACTGGGATTTAGCATTTGCAAGGTAAGTTTTCTTATAAAAAAGAGTGAAGTAAAAACCCTAAAGTTGCACAACTTGTTTATAGGCCAAATAAAAGCCACTATTAACTCCACTGCAAAAGAAAAATCGGCTTAGATGGGCTAAAGAACATAGACAATGGACACCTCAACAATGGTGTGCAATACAATGGAGTGATGAGGCCCGATTCGAAGTTTGTGTTGGTGACAGTCGCAGTAGAGTTATTCGCAAAAAAATGAGGCATTCCATGTTGACTGTCTGAAGAGAAAAGTGAAATTTCCAGCATCCATTATGGTTTGGGGCAGTATGTCATCAAAAGGAGTAGGAAAACTTCACTTTATTGATGGAAATATGGCTACAAACAAATATTTGACAATTTTAGAAGAATCGCTTTTACCACTGATGGAAGAATGTTTGACATCCGGCCAAGATTTTGTATTTCAGCAAGATGGCGCAACGTGCCATACCTCAAAAATGGCTATAAAGTGGATGGAAGAAAATAATGTACCACTTTTGAAATGGGTTTCTAGCAGTCCAGATCTGTCACCTATTGAAACTTTATGGCACGAAATGAAACAAGTTCTACGACAACATCCAGCTCGTACAATCACCGAACTGAGACAAAAGCTTCAAGGAATATGGGATTGTTTTACACGAATTTTTTGCCAAAACTTGGTTAACACTATGCCCTAAAGAATTTCAGCCGTAATAAAAAATAAAGGTGATGTTACCCAATGGTAATCTTTCAATTGTTGCTTTGTTAACTTCGCGCATTTATTCGCACATTGCTTAATTTGTTCAGATGTTCTATTAGTTATAGGTCTAAGTGATTTCAAATATGTACTTTTTACGACTGGAGTGTATCTAAAATGTTTTTGAGAAAATAAATGGTTTTAGACGTAAATAGTTCCGTCATGTTTAGTTTATAAAGGCATATTTTGGTACAAATCTGGAAGTGGGTCAACTGAAGTGGGAAGGGGCTCGTATAATTAAAAAGATAATAAAAAAAACAAAATAGGAGTCATAAGTAGTTAACGTGCAAGGGTAATTCTAAGAAATGAAACATTCTTAACATTTTAAGAGACCGGCATTTCAGAAAGCTTCTGTGATTACAAGAAACCACTTTCGCAGTGAGACATATTGGATGAGGAGAAAGTAATCTCGTATCTTTCTGCGCTCAATAACATTTAGCTTACACATTCGCCATTTTTTGAAACGGTGCTATTCATAGGACACATCCACCATATTCTGCAATATAACCCGACCACTCAAATGTAACCAGCCAAGTATCTATTCCAAAGTATTATTTTCTTTTATAATTCAATTCAATTTTCAGGCTACGCTTTTCGACTTCCTTGTCACCAAATATTGTAGATATTCTCACTCAAATGTAGGGTGCGTCATCTATTACTTTTTTTTCTATTTGAAAAATCAACACGCTTTTTACGAGGTGAAATCGAATTTTTTTATTGATAAATGAAGGCTGGTTTATGCCATTTATGTATGAAACATAACATCAGTCATGTGACCAAAGCGGCTTCGTTTACAGACCAACATCCGAACATCAAAGTTTTCAATGACCTTTCCCAGAATAATCGAGTCTATGGCCGCAATTTCAGTCCGACTATTGCGCTTTAGGTCTTGAAACTTTTACTTTCTAAAATCCCCAAAGAAAATAGTCAAGAGGTGGTAAATCGCACGATCTCGGGGGCCAACTGATATCTGAATTTCAAATTTCAAATTATGCGGTCTTGAAATTTCGTGTGCAATAAGGCGATTGTTTGGCAAGATGTGTGAGCCGTTGCTTCGTCTTAATAAAGCCAAAGAGCGTCGGCACCAATACGATCCAATTGTGGCCACAAAAAGTCTGTTAAGATGCCGCGATAATGTTCCCCGTTGACGGTAATGGCCTTTTCGTCAACATATTCCAAGAAGAATGGTCCAACGATGCCACCAGCCCATAATCTGCACCAAACAGTCACTTTTTCACGATGGAGAGGTTGTACATGATATTGGTGTGGATTTTCAGCCCCCCAGAATCTGCAATTTTGCTTATTTACGTACCTATTGAGGTGAAAATGAGCCTTATCAGAAAAGAGCACTTTGGCCGAAAATCCGGCTTCTCTTTCCAGCATCCAATTAACAGAAACACGCCGCTGTTGATAGTCTGCCGGCTTCAATTCTTGTGTTAGTTGGATTTTGTATGGATGGATTTGTAAATCAATGTGTAAAATCCGGCGTAAAGTGGTCTCACTAATTCCCAATTGTTGCGAACGGTGCCTAGTCGAGGTGGTTGGATCTTCTCGCACACTTTCACTCACTGTGGCTATGTTTTCACGAGTATGAGCTGGACGAGCATGTTGGTATGGTCTACGATCTTCAGCTGAACCAGTTTCCTCAAAACGATTAACAATCCAACGAATTCCAGGCTCTGTAGGGCGTCCATGTCGGCTAAAACTAGTGCTAAGTTTGCGACAAGTATTTTTTATATTTCGAGCGTTTTCGTAATATGTTTGGATAACCAAAATGCGTTGTTGTGTTGTAAACGAATCCATGACTATACATGGCATACCTTTGACAGTTCATTTATGCATACCACATGACTTTTGACTCACATGGTAATACATAGACTTATAGGTAAAAAAAAGTAATAGATGGCGCACCCAGTATCTGATATTCCAACGATTTCAAAAGTTCATGGTATACAAGTTTTTCCAATAAGATATATTTGAAATCCAGCCTCAGCTTTTTGACGATCTCAAACACAACAATTTTTGATTGGTGATTTGGGGCTCTGAAAGTAGCTATTTTCGATGCAGAGAAGATTTTTTGCTCAGTACGAGAAAAATACATTTAAAAAAATTTTGACCGCATAGTTATACCCTATCTTTTGCATAAGCGTCTTTATTTTGGAATCTTAATGAGAGTAAGATACAAATGAAATTTGAGAATTTTTTATAATAGAACCGCCTATTTCACTTTAACTAGTATGTCGGGCACGAAAACGTTACCCAATGTTTCTATTTTCCTCGATCACTCGAGGTAAAAGTGGAAGAAGCAAATAGTTATGTGGATTGGTTACGTACAGTTATGCTGTGATTATCTTGAAGTCCTACAGGTAACAATCCCCAGTATTCATTTTTCACTTCGTTTCCAGCTTCAAGACGCTTTTGGTCATCATCTGTCATGTCAATGGGAGCCAGACTCTTATGGTCAACATCGTATCTCGACGAGAAAGCCATGAGGAACACTAAAAAATTGGTGATAGCTATTACAACTAATGTTACACTGAGGTGACTGAAAAGAGATTGCATTTCTAAATCTAGTGAAATTAAGGATGCATTCATGCGAATAATCACAACCATAGTCATACGTATTTGTACAATAAGGCAAACATTTCTTACCTACAGGACCATCGTAGTAAGAAGCTTCATTCGAATTAACACCCACAAGCATTGGTACCTGGTTGAAGTTTCCCGCTTTTAGTGAATCATAGCTATTGTTAGAGAAAAGTGCATTTTCACTCTGCGGCTCTAAAACTGTCCCTATTCCAGACCCAGCAAGAGGATCTTCTGCCGTCACCTACAATTATCATCATTTATTTTTCAAATACTTTAAACAGGATTATACAGGGTGTAATGGAATGTCCGCCCAAATTTCGCTTTATCTTGGTGATAATACTAGTTGACTTCGTAATTAACGTTTTCCTTCGCGACAGTCTCAACTGATTGATTTATGAATTAGACATATTAGCTAATTGCGTTTCAAAAATAAATGTACAAGGTGTGAACGTTGTGGTAGTCATTATTGAAATGGGTAATAGGGAGGTAAAAACAAGTCAAAAAGTTCATATGACCCATGGTCCAAAAGTCAATAGATTTTTGTCTGAATGGCCTTATAGTTTACAAGTTTAAGTGCTTTATATCGACCCCAATCACCATAATCTTACTACTTTTTATAATCTAATCTAAAACGTTTTTAAATTGGGTTATTAAATTTCCATAATACTCACAGGTGAAGGTCATTTCCAACAACGTTTTAAAATAAATATTTGGGCAGGTATTCTTGACGATCAGGTAATTGGCCCTTTCGAGTTACCTCCAAAGTTGTCAGGAGAAAGATACCTTAGCTTTCTAGCCAATAACCTGCCAGAACTTTTGGAATAGACCTTAGACAAGATGCCAGTACAACGGAGACAGGATTTGTGTTTTTTTCATGACGGAGCACCACCACATATTTTTGTAGGCGTCATTCAGTATTTGAATGAACATTATCCAAATAGCTGGATCGGTCGAAATGCTCCTGATCCTCGAAAATGGCCAGCAAGATCTCCTGACCTCAATCCGATGGATTTCTGGTATTGGGGAGAACTTGAAGGGACGGTTTACGGGGCTGGTCAAATAACAACTGAAGCACAACTTCGCGAAGAAATTTTTAATGCGGCTGAAATAATAAATGGACAACTTCGAGAACCTAGAGGAAGAAAAAGCTGGGTTCGTCGTAATGAAGCTTGTGTGGAAAGTAGAGGACGACATTTTGAATACCATTTTTAAATGCAAATAAGTGCAGTGTGGATTTTAAAAAGAAAAAGAATGTACGTATCAGAATTGTGTTTCCTAATTATAAGTGGATTTTTTTCATACGTTCAATAAACTTTCACACACCAGGTGAAGTGCTGAGACAGCTAGTGGTAAGTCCGTTATTTTTAATTGTTTGCATTTTACGAGTACATTATCAAATAATAATACCTAAGAGCCAAGTAACAAACTCAATCTTTATTTACACTGCGTTCCGTCGTAAATTGCATCTGGCTTTGCGGCGTTGTCAGATTTTATTTTACTTTAAAGTCGCGTTTCTCTAAAAAAATGCCGTTTTGACCACCATGTTATATGAAACTTTTTGCGTCTTTTAACCCCATCTATCACCCATTTACATAATGACTATCATAACGTTTATACCCTGTATAATGACATAATAAGGATATACACTAATTGCTTGGACCTTACTTCATTACAAAAGTTTACTACCAATGGATGGATGGATCTTTCAACGTGTTTTTTTGCGTGGATATTGAAGAAATGAGAAATTCTAGGTGAGCTTTTTCTGCAGTCCGCTACGTCCTCTAGGCTTTGGTTAAGATCCAAGATTGTCTCAAAATCAAATGACACACTTGAATTAAAAAAAAAGAGAGATATTTCCTCTTTTTGAGAGATCCACTTTATTATTAGACCAGGGCAGGTTAATAACGTTTTGCCAGAACAGTTGCCGAGCCAGCGAATCAGTGATCGTTTCAAGTAGGTATACAGGGTGCCCAGAAATAACACGCCAGAATGTAGCGGCAGGCCGATTGGTTTCAGATCAATCAGATGAAGTCAACATGACCTTGGTAAGTGTTTTCTAGTGTTCGAGATATTGCCACTTTTAGGCTTCTTCAAAAAATGACTTAACTCCTTTCTTGCCTGGTATATGGCTATTAAAAACATTTAACATGAGTTTTTAATAGTTGGTTGAGACAACCGAGTATTCGTTCCATTGAAAACTAGCACGTTATGATAAAAAAAATAATAGATTTCGTTTCAATGTGAAAACCTTTACTAAAGTTTGAATAACTACTGTGAAAAAAGATGTACCAGACTGAATCGGCAAATGATCTCAAAAACTAGCCTATTTATTATATCATATATACTAAGTCACATATAAATCCGAACACCCAGTTTAAATGGCTTTATTTTAATAAAAGTTGGTGAATGTATTTATCTTACTGTAAATAACAAGTGAAAAAATGTTCAGCCTTATCAGTTGGACATTCCGGTTTTTATACTGCTTTTTTTTAATTCACTAACGCTGTAAAAATGAATATTTCAACCGCAGTAAAGAATCAACCTTGGCGGATTTTGGTTCTTGACATCCTTTACGATCGGTGCAAAGAAGTGTAGACACTGTGGTTAGGTGTTGTCAGGCATGGCTTCGAGAAGGCCGTACGCAAAGAGCAAGGGGCACTGGACGCCGCCGTAGAACAACAGACCGTGAAGATCGCCGCCTAAGATTATTGGCCTTAAGGGACCGTTTCTCCACTACTAGGTCCATTGCAAATGAATGGTTTGCAGAATTGGCATGCGAAGTGTTTACCGACGAATGAGACGTTTTGGCTTGTTTTCATACCGGCCACACTGGGTCCTCCCTTTAACTCGAGAACACCGACGTAATCGCCTTGATTGGTGCAGACTACGGTCACTCTGGGATCAGGAATGGAACAGTATTGTCTTTAGTGACGAGTCTCGATTTTATTTAGGCATGCACTATGGTCGTGCCAGGGTTAGAAGGCGACGTGGTGAAAGGAGGAATCCACAGTTTTTTGTTGAAAGACATGTTCATCACACTGTTGGAGTTATGGTTTGGGGTGCTATAGCTTATGGTTCCAGGTCACCTTTAATCTTCATCAGAGGTAACATGAACGCGCAGCGTTATATCCACGAAGTTCTAGAACCCCATCTTTTACCCTATCTTGACACCCTGGCAGATCCAACTTTCCAACAAGATAATGCCCGACTACATGTTGCAAGAGTCACAATAGACTTCTTTCAAGATAATGATGTCACATTGTTACCATGGCCACCAAGATCTCCCGACTTATCCCCAATTGAGCACGTGTGGGATATGATGGGTAGGAGATTGCTTAATTTGCAACGTCCTCCTCAGACTCTAGAAGCACTTCGAGAGGAGTTGGTGGTTGCCTGGAATGAGATACCACAGGAGGACATTGACCACCTGATCAGAAGCATGCCTAGGCGCGTTGGAGAATGCGTAGCACATCAAGGTGCATCCACACATTATTAAAGGTCAAAGGGCTTTAAAGCAGTGCAATCATTTTGAAATTTTCATCATTTACTTATTATGCTTCATTAAGTACTTATACAAAATTTTATTAAAATAAAACCATTTAAACTGGGTGTTCGGATTTATATGTCACTTAGTATATATTATATTAATTAGGTTAACATGTTTGAGAACACTTATGTGTGAAAACAAAAACTCAAGAAGTACGTGAAAATTCTGCATTCTTACTGGGGATACATTATTTTTATTGATTATTTTGTCTTATTATAAATATGGAGTTATTTTGTGGGTGCGGTAAGGTTAAGATTTGGTATAATATTATCGAAAACTACTATACCATATAGCTTTCATATTTTTGTAAGTAAATGTGAGCTTATGTATCACAGTTCAGCGTTTCTGGGAAAACAATATACTTTATGACAGTCATTATTTAAATGGGTGATAGAGGAGGTTAAAAGGAGCAAAAAGTTTCATATAACATGGAGGTCAAAACGGCATTTTTAGAGAAAAGCGACTTTAAAGTAAAATAAATCTGAGAACGCCGCAAAACTATGCTAAAGAATAACTAACCACCGTTATCGTTTGCGATCGATTGCCGGTTCAATAAGAGTGATGATGACCGACGCGCTGTTGTCAAGTGTGTTTTAAATATTTAATTTAATGAAACTTACTTACTGACTACAAATTTTGGCTTAACTTAATGAAATTTAATTGTTAATTATCCAATTTAGAAATGATCTAGATTAGATTATAAAAATTAGTAAGATTGTGATGATTGTGATCGATATAAGGCACTTAAAGTTGTAAACTATAAAGCTATTTAGACAAAAATCTATTGACTTTTGGACCATTGAGCATATGAACTTTTTGACTTGTTTTGACCTCCCCTTTGACCCATTTCAATAATGATTACCATAACGTTTACACCCTGTATATAGAAATTTAAATTTGGTGCTTTCCTAGTGCTAATCCTTTTGTGTATACGCTCACATCACATCACCGTAGGCTGTTAAGCCTAGACGCTAATCTACTCATAAGCTGAACAAAGCATTAGTTTTTATCAAAATATTTGTGGTTGGCAAACGTTTACTTTTTCCGTATGTGCTGATACGCATAGTTGTTGCTTTGTCATATGGCAATAAGAAATCACAAATCATTGTGCTGTGTACCGTTTATTCCCCAAGGTGATATCACTAAATATCTTAATTCAAAAATATGGATTCGTTAGTCTTGACGGTAGAAGGAAGATACAATCTTTGTTTTTTTAAGTTGCAAATTATCAACATGATTGCGCATCACTTTTGACTATTCCTAATTTCAATTTATTTACTGTACGAACAAGGGCTAGCTTTGCCATTTACTTAACTGCCCCAAGAATGACCTACTGATACAGTCACCGCTATATTTGATGTGTTTTAGATTAATTAAATCTGACAATCCTCCGCTCACCAATTTTGTTCAAAGTAACAGCATTTCAGCATTTAATGCTACCCACCACGCTTCTCGATTTTCAAAACTGAGTGAAGTTTAAGCAATGTGGCAGTCACTGGCATGTGTGTGCTTCCACCAAATTTGACGATTTACCAAAGATTTGAGAGAAATCTACCGAAAACTAACGGCAACACTGCTAATGAGGACGTCATACGAACTTGGTCGTTTGGACCTCAGATATCCTCTCTTACAAATCTAGCTTCAGTACTAGGTCTAATACTCTTTATCACTTACCAGTCCAAAAGAAGTTTGGAATGCTTTTTGTAAATTCTTAACATCTACCGTTTTCAGATGTTCCTTCAACTTCCTAGAATCTTGTGTTATGTTACCGGTTAACAGACCAGTCTTGAAGGAAGTATCATTGGCTCTTAGTGCTCTGGACCACAGACACAGGGACGTGGCGCTTTGCATGATTACGCTACGGAATAGCCCTGATGATGGAGAAGATAAACGTTTGATTAGCTTCACAAAAATGGTGCTAAGGAGGTGACTCTGCCGTTCCCACCAGTTCCTAAAGTATTACGTTTGGAAAGAGTTGGACCCTCTGAGAAAAATGCGAACATGTACAACAGAGAAACTAAACAGAGCTAATCAAACGGGCTCATATAATTAGTACATTGACCGTCCATCTGGCGACGTCGCCTCTCCCTGATAACTCACACGTCAGAGACTTGACGGCACTGCAGTGACGTCATGACACTCAGGGGGGAAACTGTGGTGAAGGTGATCCCAGAGAGCAGCAGACGCCTGTCGAAGATATTTGTCTACTACTCAAGCAAGTTTTAACGGCAAATATACTAGCAAATCTAGGTCTATGAAATAAGTCCAATGCCATACGCTTGCTATGCAAATCTTCCCAAACGCAAAAGTGCAGATAGAACATTTGGCTTGGTTTGCAAGCGTTTGTAAAGCGTGTTACTTGTTAGATAAAAAATAAAAGTGATTAAAAAACGAATATATGCTTCAATTGTTTTCAAATTTCGTTCCTCGTCTTCCAACTTTCTTAAAGGTAGTATCAGAAAAATTTAAGGACAACTCAAATATTTGGAAATTTCACACCCTTTTAGCAAGGAAGTATCGCAATCGCAAAAAATCGTCTCTTGGACGTTATATATACTATACACTATGAAAAAATATGTCACCAATTTGCGGTCTGTCCGCTCATCTTTGGTCCGTCTACATCCTGGGAAATAATGCTTTAATTTCTATTACAAGGTTACTACTATGCCAAGAATGGAGACGCTTTGTAGTTTTTGAAAACCGATCCAGCGGTAGCAGAGCTACAAGCTCAAAAAAAAGTGACTTAAGATTCGTTAACTTCGTCGTCTCAGAGGCGTCTGATAATTATGAGAAAAATATCTTCTTCCTACTTTATTGATAGGCTCATGCCTGTTTTACTTCAGTTTTTATCCTCAACTGATGTTGTCTGACCATCTTTTCCTCGGTCGTCCCATTGATCTTCTTCCATTTGGCGATTTGTCTCTTGCTATTCGTACTGTTCTACTTTCTGTCATTCTTTCTATGTGTTGATTACATTCTATTTCTCTTCTTTTGTTCCACAGGTTTATTTCATCTCATACCACATCTCGCTCGTATTTCCTCACTTCTTACTCTGTCTCATAGAGTTTGGTTATAATATTTGTGTTTTCGATGTATCTGCTCTTGTATCCGCTTTGTACGTCATTATCGGTCTTATTGTTGATTTATATATCCTAGTTTTCATTTCCGTTGTGAGACATTTGTTTCTCCAGATTGTATTATTGAGACATCCTGCTGTTCTGTTCGCCATGTTCACTTTGTTTTTGTACTGCTTCTTCCACTTCTCCATAGTTTGACAGTTTGATTCCCAGGTATTCCGTTTCCATCACTTGTTCTAATATTTTGTTATTCACGACCAGGTTACATCGTCTCGGTTTCGTTGATATTACTATCGATTTAGTTTTCTCTGTTGAAGTCACATGTTGTATATGAGCGCCGTATCTTCGAATTCTTTAATTAATCTTTGTAGGTTATTTTCATTTTCGGTTATTATTATGTCGTCGTCGGCGTAGCATATTATCTGCATTTCCTTTTCTCCCTTTCTATATCCTCTTCTTTTTTTTTAAATTTCTTTATGATATCATCCATTAGTGGACTCAGCGAATCTCATGGTCTAATGTCAGTTTGATACTTGATAGGTTGCGAGAGTTTTCCTTTACATCTTACCATAGCTATGTTATGTTTATATATATTCTCAATAGTTCTTACTAAATCTCTGGGATATATTAAATGTATCGCATCCCGAATTTATTGTATTCCAGCGACTTTCTGTATAGGTTAAAAAATGGGTGTATAGGGTTTTATGCATGTTTCACATATATTTCTTGCCACATTTGCCCTTGAGACTTTAAACATTTCAACTCCGCAAGCATCACATATTATGAAGTTCCCGCCGCGTCTGTTTGAAAGCGATAAACTCGAAAACTAAGCGACGGATTTTTTTACTTTTATCCCCGGATATAGAGATTGATGAGAACGGTCTAAGTACCCATATAATTTATTGAAGCTTCATGTAAATTAACTAAACGGAATTGATATCCAAAGTATCAAAAATTTGTCCAAGGATACAAAGTCATTATTTGGCGATATGAAACTTATTTATGCTAAAATAAAGTAGTCATGACATCATCATGACTAATAACAAAGCCCGCGAGAATATATGCCTAACTATTATGATTATAGTAGTAGAACGGTTTCAGGCAATGGTTACAGTGCGGTAGCTCGCCTGCCAGAGAGAATTTTTAAGTCTTTTTTGTTTGGGCGTACGAAATCTGAACATAATATGCGCCTTTGTACACATAATCCGGCAGCCTCAAGGATGTATAATATATATATATATATATACGAGTATATACAGTAATGGACAAAAGTATAAAGACAAATATGAATATTTATCTAAATATCTTTAGAAAACGAATTCATACTTCACTGCTCCATAAACAAATGCGTTATTAGTGGAAAAACTAAATTCCTTGTTTTTACATTATCTGCAATGATCACCATACAAGTCTGAATATAAGCACTTTTTTATGAGGGACAAAAATATGTAGACAAATTATTTTCAACATTAGTTTAGTACAGTTTCGTGTCAGAAGAGGATTAGTTTGTCTTCATCAAGTATTGTGGAATAAGTTGAGTGATTTTAAGGCCATACCGCGTGGTCCAGAAATTTCTTTCGATGTGAAAACTAAGTCGGCATTGCCAAAAATTTGAAGCTGAAGCGTAAAACAGTTTGGGCAATATTGAACAAATCTAAACAAAAAGGTATCTTGGAAGCATCTAAGAGAAGTGGTCAGCCTAGGAAACTAAATGCTAGATCAGTTAGATTAATAAAAGTAACTTCGTTCAAAGATCCGTTTAAAACCCCAAGACAAATAAAAGCCGAAATCGAGACAAAAAGAATTGTCAGTGTTTCTTCGAAAACTATGAGTAGAAGATTAAATGATTTGAAGTTATTTGCACGCCGCCCGAGTAAGAAGCTGCTAATCTCGAGGAAAAACTGTAAGGACCGATTAGAATTTGCACGGTTGCATCTTGATTGGAGCATCTGTGACAGAAAGACGGTATGTTTCAGTGACGAATCCAAGTTCAATATGTTTGGATCAGATGGTGTTCATTACGTTAGACGTCCTAGTGGACAAAGATTGAAACCCAAGTACACTTTGCCCACTGTAAAACATGGACGCGGGTCTGTTATGGTTTGGGGGTACGTCATGTTACCCTATATGGAAGACAATATGCCCTTAAGATCAATCTTCCAGCAAGATAATGAGCCGAAGCACTCTTCAAATCTCGCAAAGAAATTGAATGAAAAAATACCAGTTCTCAAATGGCCTTCACAGTCTTCCTATATAAGCCCCATTGAAAATCTATGAGAATACTTAGATAAGCAAATACGAGATAAAAATTATTCAAACAAGGATGAACTTTTTGCCGCTTTAGAGCAAAAGTGGAGACAGATTGATGAATCTTATATCAAGAAACTTCTACAATCTATGCCGAGATGATGCCAGGAGGTGATTGATAATAATGGTTATGCTACAAAATATTAGCACACATATGGTTGGTTTTCTATAATTCAATGAACTTTGCCTCTTTTTTCTTTAATTGTTTTGCTTTGTCTATATATTTTTGTCCTTCATAGTTCCAGTTTCTTTCAATTAATTTTTTATTGAAGGGAGTCTAATGAATTTATTTATGTATAAGTGAGTACTATGGTATAACGGATTATGTATACAGGTTGGTGTATTGGTAAAACAAGTTAAAAAAGAAATACAGCACAATATTAATTTGTATATATACTTTTGTCGATTACTGTATATATATATATATTGATATATCTTTATAGATATATCCATTCTTGATTTTCTTAATACTTGCAAGACCGGAAATAAAATACATAACAAAATTATACAAGTTACAGTAACAACTTAATCTAACTCCGATATGTGACTCAGCAGCATATTACAGCAGTTACGTGTGTGAAGGCGGAGCGCTAGTAGAAATATCTAGAACACAACGTTGTCAAACTTTATGGGCCTGTTTGACCGACTTGATCAAAAAAATTTTTTTGTTATACATGTTCGTAGTTTTCCTTTGGCTTTTTTCCAAGAGGAGAGAGCCGTACACTTTCTTTTATGAACTAACAGCCTTGCGTGAGAAGTCAACCTTCTTGACGGCATTTTCATACCGCACAAGTAACGTGTCGCTTTAACAATGGCTGTATGATATTTTAATAATAATAATTTAACAATCCACTCATTGGCAATACCACTTACAATTTTGTCTGACTGTTTTTATGTTTGTATTTATAGTAATAATCAATCAAAATATACTTTATTATCAATAGTACATTATTCTTTTTAACAAAAGTAGTGAATAAAACACCATGCGAGGTACATAGTTACTGACAAAATACAACAAGAAATACAATAATAGATAAAACAAAACAAGTCATAAAACAACGTGCAAGTACGATCACAGTATGCCATCCAAGTATTCATGCAGCAGACAAACTTTTTGTAGAAGGAAGACTTTCCCAAACTTTCTTGAAAACCTTCAAATCGTCAACTATTTTGACAGCTGTCGGTGGATGGTTTAATATCTCAACTCCATGATAAATTATAGAGTTCTTAGTTAAAGCTGACTTGAGGAAAGGTAAATGCATGGTGTGAGGATTTCTATAATTTTACCGTCCAGTCCTCGGTGTTGACTGGTGACTGGTATATTTCTGCATATTGCTATCAAGCATACTACTTCAACTATAAATAGCCACGTCACAGTTAAAAAAAATGACTTAACATTTTACATTGAATGTGTACTAATATTCGGTTCAACTTCTAGGAACAGTTTTTCAGTCGTCTTAAATGTTGTGTAAGATCTGAAACTCAATTACACTTACCCTTTGCAAGTGGCGACTGTGTCAAAACTGATACAGAAACAGCTCCTGAACTTTGACCACCCAAAGTGACCTTATCTTTATCTCCTCCAAAATATTGAATGTTTTCATGGACCCACTTCAAAGCCAACAGTTGATCTCTGTGTCCAACATTGCCAGGAAGCACTTCATCGTCGGTAGAAATGAAACCGAATATACCCAGCCTGTACTGGATTTCAACGAAGATGATGTTCTCATCCAGGAGAAATTCTGGATCTAGAAGTGAGGATTAAAACTAATTGGTCTGAACATAGGTACAGTAAACTGTCGATTTTCTTGTCTGTGAGTAAATCTCGGTAGTTGTGTTGGAAATGGTGCTTACCTTGCTGAGCAAAAGAAGCATTTCCTGTCAAAAGAAATCCACCATGTATCCATACTAGTACTGGAAGAGGTGTCGATGAATTTAACTAAAAACAGAAAGCGTTATTAATCACATCTTATACCGTTGAAGCATGGGATTTAAATCAGTCTGCAGAACGTTTGGTATCGCCGATGCTTAATGCAGCTGCTATTTGCTGTTGCACACAAGCATGAATCGGGTGATAGAGAACTGTTGATTTTATTTATTTATCGAAAATTACCCGACAAATTTAACACCGATTGTTGACATTATAGTTGCATCATCAGCCATTGCTCTTTTATGATGAAGAATAAATCAAACCGAAATCCTACGGACATGATAGTTGTCATATTGACAGTTACAAGCATAAATGTAAAAGACAAAAAAAAACTACACGGACTGATTTTTATAAATGTAGTCCTTGTCCTTTTTTTCAGCGCGAAAAAACAAAGGTAAACTGCGTCGTTATCAAAAATACAATTTTATCTATGTAGATACCATCCTATTAACGAATTACAGTGACCTTTGTGGAAGGGTAATCATACTTTACTGCCTTCAGCACTGTAATATTCAAACGTATGCAGATGACACGCAGCTAACTCTGTATTATGATTCTTCGGACATGCATGAAGCATCATATAAATTGAACTTAGATCTAGTTAACATTGAAGAGTACTGCAAAAGACATTGTCTGAAGATTAATGCTTCAAAATGTTCTACTATGCTATTTGGCCCAAAACAGTTAGTACAACGGTTAGATGGCACAATTGTTCCTAGTCTTAACGAAACCCATATTCCTATAGTAGACCATGCGAAGTATTTAGGGATCACCATGGATTCAGATTTGAGGTTTAAACAACATGTTACGCATTTATCTCGCTTAACATACATGCGTTTGAAGTTATTATACACCAATCGCCATATCCTGAATTTCAGGACTCGCAAAAAACTGGCTCTGGTTCTATCGTTAATAAATTATTCAATTGATGTCTACTTTCCTTGTCTTGATTACGTGACTAGATATCGAGTACAAAAAATTCAAAATATCTGCTGTAGGTTCATTTGTGGTCTGCGAAAGTTTAGCCATGTGTCTAAGAAGACCAATGAGCTTAGATGGTTGAGGGTTGACCGGCTTTTCACATATAACTCACTAATTTTAGTACAACGAATAAAAATCAATAGGCTAGCTACTTATCTACTAGAAAAGCTGGTACCACGTGGGGATGTCAATTACAGGAATCTAAGACATAACTCTGACTTCCATATACCTAGTTATAGGAGCAACATTTTCCATCGTAGCTTCACCTACAACGCTGTCAACGTGTATAATAGTCTTAATGACAATTACAAAAAGATGGGAATACTTGCATTCAAGAGAGTCATTAAGAACGACCTTCTGGAGTCTGCTAGCCAAGCTGGCTGATATATATTTTTTTTGTCTTTATTGTTTTTTTTGTTAGAGCGGGCTATGTGGAATAGATGTACAACATATTAAGATTAATCTATTTAAGCTTAATTGTTGTATATATTATTTAGTCGATTGCTATTCATTGTTATATTTTTCCTTTTGTATGTGTTCCTGCGCTGTGAAGTTAAGTGGTAGAGTAGCCAGCTGGCTAAACTTCGCCTCGCAGTGTGGAGGGATTAATAAAGACATTATTATTATTATTATTATACTTCACAGTTAACAGGATATTAGTATCTGCGTCATCTATAGTTTTTGCTTGTCAAGTGAGCAACTTCGTATGCATATTCATTAGAAATAATACTTACTGAAGGTGTGTATACTGATAAGAAGAGACAATCTTCAGACCCGTCACCAGAAACACCTTGTATGCACTGAGCTCTGTCCTCTCTTGCATCGTAAGTGCCATTCCAGGCACCTATCGGCACAGGATTCTGTAATTTTTTCATGATTACTCAACTTATATACTTGGTGACAAAAAACTTTGATGAAAATTTGTTTACGAGTATAGTTAGACGTGAGTAAGAGGTAATGATGGTGGAGGATGAAGTGAAGAAGTCGACATCTAGGAGGCCAAGGGAGGAGGTTAGTTGAGGTAGTTTACTATAGCTCTAGCAATATGAGAACGGCGATTATATTGATAGAAAATAAGGTCATCATGTCTCCTCTAACAGAAACTCGAGGTAACTTAGCACCATATGTAGTGATATATCAAACCATGTCTCCTACAGTGTGGTGCAAGTTACGTTCAACTGGAAGCTTTACATCATGTCCTTCTCCAAGACTCGTGCCTGTCCATGAAGCGCCCCATAAAACAGAACCGAGGCAGAAAAAATCGGGTTGATGAATGATATAGGATTGTTTTTTGTGATAATCTTGGTTCTTTTTAGGAGTGCATCATAGATGGGCACGAGCCAGAAGGTGTTGAGGCGTAAGACGTAATGTAGTTTTCTGTTGAAGGCCACGTAGACCACCATTAAATAAGGCGCTATGTATATGTATATGTATCCAATGGAACAGGGTAATGCCTGCCTCCGAATTCCTAGAGCTTCAATAGGCAACCTCAATAACCTCAATAAGTCAGCCTCCTTCCTTGGAAACCTCGATCTCAAGGCCCATTGAACATATGTTGCATTTGATGGGAAGTTAAATTCTTGGGTTTGTATCTAGATGCAGGTTTGAATTTTAAAGACCACTGTGTACATATTGCTTCAAAGATAAACTCTCAGTCATATCTTATGAAAAATTTGCGAACTGTCCTTACTGAAGCACAGATAGTTTCTGTTTACTATGCTCAAGTTGAGACACGATTGACGTATGCACTATGCTTCTGGGGTTTGTCCACAAATGCCCAGCAAGTATTTTTGGCCCAAAAAAGAGTGGTTAGATGCATGATGGGAGTCAGCAGTAGGCATTCTTGTAAGGATATTTTTAATCGCCTTAAGATTTTAACTTTACCATCTTTATTCTTATACGAAATGGCTGTGTATACTGTTATTAACAAAACTAAGTTTTTAAACAATTTTAACTCGTACTCGACCAGACAAGCTGGAGACTTATATGTGTATTTTACTGGGCCCACGAATTTCCAACAGGCTACCAAACCATATTAAAGAGTGTAGAGATATACAAAATTTTAAGGCCAAACTGACAGATTTTCTTGTGTGTAAATGTTATTATGCCGTCTCTGAGTTTGTTATGTTATGATTTATTTCTGTGTTTGTTTTATACATACAGGGTGTTTCAGTTTATTGTTGCATAACTTTAAGATTCGATAGAACTTTTAAAATTAATGCATACAGTCTATATAAACATGGGTCGAAAAATGCGTGGCTTCCGAAATACAGGGTGTAAAACAGTTTTTTTTAAATATTTCGAACAATATTTGATGTATAACAGTGAAAATTGGTATACAAAGGTTTTTTGGTACGACAAAACGAACCATGGGCATAGTTTTACTGTAGCCGCTAGAGGGCGCTCTCTACTGTACCTGTAGTGTATTAAAATGACCGAAACATTTTTCTTAGTGCAATTTTTTGCTTCATGAATAATAAAACTGATTCTTCGCACTTTTCAACATAAAAACGCTCTCTTGTGAATTTTCGTTATAGTTAGCCGTTTTTGAGATATTTCGATTTCTTAAGTTAGATGCATTTTTAATTATTTATGATAAAATAACGTTAAAAAGTCAATATCTCGATAATTTTTAGAAGTATTATGTGCCTGCAAGTATTTTTGAAATTGAAAGCAGAATAAGGTTAAACGTCAATTAGTTGACAGTTAGTTTTGTTGTCTGTTGAAACCTGAAACGTTTTTTTGCAATTGTGAATGCACGAAATTTAGTTTCTCTTACCTGTTTTTTTTTGTAAGTTTTATAAAAACTCCATTTTTATTCTCCAATCAAGAGTTAACGGATATTCATTTTGTGTATGGCTTTGTAAATGGAAACGCAGCAGACGCAGCCAGATAATACGCACGAAGATTTCCAAACAGACGACATCCAACTCGCTCAGTATTTGTAAGGGTGCATCGTCAAATAATTGAAAATGGTTTTGGAAATCTCCAAAGGGATCAAAACATAAATGTTCGTCAGCGCAGATTTACCTGTATGATTCTGCGTGAGTTTGATAGAGATCCGACCACAAGTGTTATGAGAGTTTCTGGTGCCTTGGGAATTTCAGCAAGCCATGTTCACCGTGTTCTTAGAAATGACCATAGACGTCCTTACCATTTGCAACCTGTGCAAGGACTACAGCCAGGGGACGGAGAACGAAGAATCACATTTTGTCAGTAGATTCTTGATAGAACTGATAATAATAGGGAGTTTTTAAGTAACGTTTTATGGACCGATGAGTCATGCTTCACTAGACGTGGAGTGGTAAATTTTCATAATCAACATATGAATTTAATGTGCCCGTGTGGATTGGTATCTACCGTAATCGACTATTTGGACCCTACCTTTTGCCTGCAAGGTTAAATGCTGCGACCTTCTTGGAATTTTTAAAGGCTGAACATGCAAATATGTGGGATGATGTTATGTTAGATTTAAGAAGATTGGCATGGTTCCAGCTTGATGGTTGTCTAGCTCATTACTCGAGAATAGTTAGAAACTGGCTGGACGAAAATTATCCAGAAAGATGGATCGGCCGTCGAGGACCAGTCGGCTGGCCTCCACGATCACCTGACCTAAATCCATTAGATTTCTTTGTGTGGGGATTTCTAAAAGAAAAAGTGTACCAGACTCCCGTAACCACAAGAGATATGCTAATAGACAGAATCAGGAATGCATGTGATGAAATAAGGCCTTATTTGAATAATGCTATACCACGTTCGATCATTCGTAGATGTAAATTGTGTATTGAACAATTGGGTTTACATTTCGAGCAACTACTTTAGATTTTGTATGTTTGTCCTAACTATCCAATAGCATTTTAGTTGTAAATAATTTAGTTTGTTAAAAATAATATTGGAAAATTAAACAAATTAATATTCTGTTTTTTTGTGTTTATTTGGAGTTAGGAATTATTGCTGTGTTTAAAAACACAATCTAAACGATCATCTTAATTACTTGTAATGCCCAAATCGAAAATGTAAAAAAAATATTATTTTCCCATAAATAATTAAAAATGCATCGAACCTTAAAAATCGAAATATCTCAAAAACGGCTAACTATAACGAAAACTCACAGGAGAGCTCTTTTTAGTTTGAAAAGTGCGAGAATCAGTTTTTTTATTCAAAAAGCAAAAAATTGCACTAAGAAAAAATTTAAGGTCATTTTAATACACTACAGGTACAGTAGACAGCGCCCTCTAGCGGCCACAGTAAAACTATGCCCATAGTTCGTTTTGTCGTACCAAAAAACCCTTGTATACCAATTTTCACTGTTATACATCAAATATTGTTCGAAATATTTAAAAAAAAACTATTTTAGAAAGTAAATTTAAACACCCTGTATTTTGGAAGCTACGCATTTTTCGACCTATGTTTATATAGACTTTATGCATTAATTTTGAAAGTTATATCGAATCTTAAAGTTATGCAACAATAAACTGAAACACCCTGTATTATTATTTTGTGTTGTTTTATTAGTTTTTATTCCGAGGAATCCTATACATACTTTGTAATATCTCTTAGGATAATAAAAGAATTTGAACGTGAATTTGAATTTGAAGAAATATTTTCTTCGTCTGTTCGGATAGTGGCAGGATGAACGGTTCACTTCCCACGACAATTATCTAGGGAGTATTATGATCGCGAAGTCCAAAATCCAGATGCATATCTATCGTCTGTTCCATAATCGTTGATTCATCAGTAACTCGGAAAGTACTGCTCGGATGTTTAAAGATTTTTGAGACGGGATTGCTACTTGCAACATGACAAGGGCGAGAAAGTCTTGAAGGTTTTGTTAATCGTTCTATGGCGGCAGAGCTATGAGTCAAAAACGAAAAATTTCAGTACGTTTGCAAATTTCAAAACATCATCATCCAATCCTTTTCAATATCTGGTTACTTTAGGGTCAGGTCTAATAAGTTTTTTGGGCTATTCCAAAAATATCATATCAGGAATGTCTCATTTTGTATTTATCACTAATAATGCTTGGAATGTTAAGTAGGTTTGTGACTAATGATCTACGAATAAATTAACTTCATGCTATAGATAAATTTTAATACTTACATTCTTGCTAATTTTTTAGCTATCCCTGTATCAGTGCGTATGCCAAACGTAAGCTAAGTGCGTCATAAATTAAATACAAAATAATCGAGCTTAGTTTTCCCGTTAATGTTACTCTCAACAATAAACGTACGTTTGCCAAGGCATTAAAAAAATAAATATTAGATAATCCATATTATAGAACTCACTTGTTTGCAGAACCTTCACATCTAACTACCAGGAAATCATATAGATAATCATAACAATGGAAAAGTACTTTCAGTGCTTTATTCTTTAATATGTAAAGATAAACTTAGAACGTGCGTCTATGGTGTGGAAAAATATTTTTTTGTACAACTTTGCGTGCGGGATTTTGGCGAGTACCAACCAAGAAAATTCAGAACTAAGATGGTATATTGCTAAAAACTTACAGTGCTTTTCAAAACACGCGAAATTAGCCGACTGAAATTCGGGGAATTAAAAATGGAAAGATGGCATCTGGGCGCCATTTTGGAGCATTTTTTTGAAAACAGTCAAGGGTCGTATGATCTCTAATGCTGACGCTCTTCATGAGTAATTTACGATTCTAGAATACAAAGACATCATCTTGGAAACAAGCTGGTAGGCAGTCAAATTTTAGCGTTCCTGCACATTGAATCGCTTATAAATCAACAACCAATCATCAAAATACTACAGTATATTATTTCAATATTCTTTTCTTGGAAGGATCTATGCGAATGTGTAATAAAGTTTGAAACATGCTACTTAAAAAAATTGTGTCAAGTCTGTCAAATTATTTTAAACTGAATTTACATATACGAGCCCCTTCCCACTTCAATTGGCCCCCTTCAAACACAAATAATAAAAATGTAGCAGGGTGTTATAGGATTAAAATATTAACAATGAATATTTTGATAATATATATTAGAAAACACTAACTTTATCACTCCCTAATCAAATTTGCATCATAAAAATAACATATGTTGCAATTACAGCATATCAACCTATTTTCATATCAATGCAAAATAAGTCTATAATAGCATAGGTGGCTGTGAAAAATAAAAGCCATGACAATTGTTTTTATTAATCACAGATGTCAGAATACGTTTAAAATAGTTTTGGGTAGTTAAGGTTTTCAAAATGGGTAGAGGAAAGGTTATTAGTGAGAAAATTCGGTTACTCATAATTAAAGTTTATTAATTCTGGGAAATCAAACACAGAAATTACAACTTTGTTAGACTTATTGCGGTACAGTGAGAGAAATATTGTTAGAAGATATAACGTAACTGGTACAGTTAGTATTAAGCCACGATATGTGAAAAAAAGTAATATCACAAATGTCGACCGAAGAGCATTAAGAAGAATAATGGTGAAAAACAGGCGTGCCAATTATTTACAATTAAGTGCTCTGTAGAGTGACGCTGTTGGAAGGAGAATTTCGAGGTCCACAACTCATAGAGAGGCCCACAAACTGGGACTTGGCACTTGCAAGGTAAGTTTTCTTATAAAAAAGAGTGAAGTAAAAACCCTAAAGTTGCACAACTTGTTTATAGGCCAAAGAAAAGCCACTATTAACTCCACTGCAAAAGAAAAATCGGCTTAGATGGGCTAAAGAACATAGACAATGGACACCTCAAAAATGGTGTGCGATACAATGGAGTGATGAGGCCCGATTCGAAGTTTGTGTTGGTGACAGTCGCAGTAGAGTTATTCGCAAAAAAATTAAGCTTTCCATGTTGACTGTCTGAAGAGAAAAGTGAAAATTCCAGCATCCATTATGGTCTGGGGCAGTATGTCATCAAAAGGAGTAGGAAAACTTCATTTTATTGATGGAAATGTGGATACAAACAAATATTTGGCAATTTTAGAAGAATCGCTTTTACCAGTGATGGAACAATGTTTGACATCCGGCCAAGATTCTGTGTTTTAGCAACATGGTGCAGCGTGCCATACCTTAAAAAGGCTATAAAATGGATGGAAGAAAATAATGTACCACTTTTGAAATGGGTTTCTAGCAGTCCAGATCTGTCACCTATTGAAACTTTGTGGCACGAGATGAAAAAGGTTCTACGACAACATCCTGCTCGTACAATGACCGAACTAAGACAAAAGCTTCAAGAAATATGGGATTGTTTTACACCAAATTCAGAAATATTGGTATTTTATATTCTGGGGTTATACATTTTTCATAATGTAATTTAAAATAATTTTTCACATGATCAACCATCCCATTAAAAAAGTATTCTAATTTTTATTTTCATTTTTAATAACTGAATGCTTAAATGGATGTGCAATTAAATGGCATGTATGAGTGGTTTTACTGATTGTTTGGTATGTAAGAGCCTGTCAGTGCCGCAGATGCGAGAGACTGAAGACGAGTTTGTATATTTTAAGTAAAGTCACAGGAAATTTGAGGAAATTCATGTTGCTATTTTTATTAAAAACCTACCTCAAACCTAAGGTCCCCTACAGGAGGTTGAGCATATCGAATCCCTCTGAATGCATAGTACGTCGTGTCACTCTGTGTATGATCCTGCAGACCACGTATTTTTCCTTTCGGTATTGTCACTGTAACATCCTAAAATCATCATTTATCAGAAACGAATCTTATCTTAACACATCAAAATCAAGAAAAAATCTCAGGCCGTTGAAAATGGTATGTGAATTCTGTACCTATGACGAGCTCGATCTCATCCTTCGGCTTATGCCATGCGCATAGATAATATAAACCAAATATTAGAAACTTTTTTCTGACTACTAATTAAATTAACTCTTTTTGAAATAAAGGTACAAGATAACTATGTTGATGATGGAAAAACCCGCATAATTAAAAACCTCCTTACTTTCCTTGATATGCATCAATTTAACAATATACCTAATATTTATGGCAGGATACGTGATTTTATTATTAGTAATGTACACTGCACCATAAACCGCAATTGTGCTCCTTTGGTAGTCGAAGATTCATTCCACCAATCTTTATCAATCAGAACTTCTGAAGAAATTGAAAAGCATCACGCTAACAGAACATCATAAACGTTACAATTTTAAAAAAACAGACTTCATCTCACTTTCCAGCAGCCTTCTGAATACAAGCTGGGAGGGTTTGGTAGATATAGATGAAGTAAATGGAGCTGTGGATATTTTTATAAAACATTATACAATTTATTTGGTGACCATGAGGTGCTTCATAAAGTTTTTCGTCATAAATATCCCGTATGGTATACAAGGGAAGCTATCAAACTTGTTAAGCATAAGTCAAAACTACACAAAAGGCATAAATCAACCGGAATCTTAGCTGATTACGAACTTTTTAGTAATACCAGACTGAAATTGAAACAGAAAATTCAGGAGGATTATCAGTGCTATCTTCAGCATATTCAAAATCAGTTAAAGCTGAATCCTAAATCATTTTGGTCAGTTATTCACCAGAAAAACAGAACCTCCAGAATTCCTGCCAAGGTTATTTATAATAATGATAGTGATAGTGATTCTAAAAGTGTAGTCAATGCCTTTGTTAGTTTTTTTGAGAGCACCCTCACTTCGGCTGTACATGATGTCGAAGAGAACCTAACATTCAGTCCCGATCTCATTGATACATTGGATGTGAGTGTCGAGTTAATAACGGAGGAAGAAATATTGGAGGCAGGGAAGAAATTAAAAAATAAACTAACGTCACGTCATGATCAGATCCCTTCACTTTTTCTCAAAGATTGCATAATAGTTCTACTTCACCCACTTAAAGCTATTTTCAATCGAATTCTCAAGACATCAATTTTTTCTGAAGTGTGGAAGATTGCCAACGTATGCCCCATACACAAGCCGCAATAGTTAAATGTTGTGTAGCTACAGACCAATTTCTATTCTCTCCAATCCAGCGAAACTCTTAGAAATTATTTTACATGACCGTCTTTATGAAAGTGCAAAAAATTACATTTCAGTTTACCAGAACGGTTTTGCACGAAACAATAGATCAACGGGGTCAGGTAGATACAGTCTATGTTGACTTTTCTAAGGCATTCGATAAAATCAGTCGCAGTGTTCTGCTCCACAAACTTTTTTCTTTAGGCCTTCATAGTTGTTTCTTAAATCTTCTAAAATCTGATCTGCATCAGAGACGGCAATATGTTTACATTAATTCAACCACATCTGGTTACTATGTTTCTACTAGTGGAGTACCACAGGGGTCCAATTTGGGACCTCTATTATTTTTGTTATATGTTAACCTATGCACTTCACTGGAATGCAATAGATTAATGTTTGCGGACGATCTAAAAATGTATGCGTCCATTGCATGTCTAGAAGACTGTGCTGCCCTGCAATCGCAGATCGATGTTTTACATGACTGGTGTCTTAAAAATCATCTGCATTTAAATATCTCCAAATGCAGAATAGTAACCTTTAGCCGACGTTTCACCATACTATATCCTTATACAATTAATGGTGCAGACCTTTCGAGAACTGACTCAATCAGAGATCTAGGCGTTTGCTTTGAAAGTCAGTTAACATTCAACTCACATATTAAATTATTTTGAATGCGTTTCGATCATATGGCTTTATCATAAGAAACTGTAAGCTTTTAACTGATCTGTCGGCACTAACTTTATTGTATTCTAGTCTAAACTGAATCCAAATTCAAGATGAGATGTAAATAATAACAGTTAGCGCGTGATCTCTCGGTAACAGGTGGGGACAACGCCTCTTATTGGTCAATTCGCCATTACATTTCAAGCGGAATAATGCGCGGGGCAGGGGCAGGGCAGGCAGAGTTGCATCCAGGCCACCGACCGTCGCGTGTATCACTGCATGCTCGTGTTTTCGTATTCATCTTGCTTGGTTGTTGCTGTTGTTGTTGTTAAGTGTATTTGAGTAGTTTGTTAAGTTTCTGTTTGTTATTGTTATTCCTCGTTATTACTTGTTTTGAACCAATCCTGAACATGTCCAGTACAGATACTGCTGACGAGGCTGTAAGCTACTCCCTTAGCCCTCCTAGAAAGCGATCAAAAAAAGACATCTTAGCGTAGACATGAAAGACGTCATATTGAATACATTCAAGATAGAGCGGAAGGAAGACGAAACATCAACTAACCCGAAAATAGCTCTGAAAGTGGCAGACAAAATTGGGGTATGCCAAGCGACAGTGTACAATATTTTGAACGAACATAAGAAAAAGCATGCCTTTTCCAAGCCAATGACGGGTAAAAATCGCAAAAGTATCATAAGATCGTTGGATGACGCTGACAAGCATTCGATTCGGAGGAAAGTGCACGAGTTCGTCTTCAGAAACGAAATACCGACAGTTGATAAAGTACTACGGGAGGTTAACGAGGATGCTATGTTACCAAATTTCAAGCGTTCGACTATTCATAAACTTTTGAAGCATCTTAATTTCGAATGGAAGAAACGAGGTCGTAACAGCTTAGTTATGGATAGAGAAGAAATTGTTCTGTGGAGGAGAGAGTACCTGACCAAAATTAAATCATTCAGGGATCAGCACAGGAAGATCTATTACCTGGACGAAACCTGGATTAACGCTGGGCACACTACTCCGAAGGTATGGGTTGACAAAACTGTGACTTCATCCAGAAGGGCATTTCTAGATGGACTGTCGACCGGATTGAAAAATCCAGCAGGTAAATAGATCGAAGCAGTTAACGGTATCAATTTTTGCGCACAATATCTCTCTATCTTCGTACCTACAAGACGTGCTTGTGTACTTAGCAGATTTTATCTTACTGGGCAAAGGAAAAAGGCTCATTATTTGCCACATTGGTGGATTCGTGGATGACGGCTTATGGTCGTTTGAGTCAAAAAAACCACTGACTACCATGAAGAGATGAATGGGGAAGCATTCGAGAAGTGGTTTTCAGGCATAATGCTCCCTATCATTCTCGCAAAATAGAAAAAATCCCAACTTCAGCTTCTAGGAAATCAGACATTCAGAGCTGGCTCCGTTCCAAAAATATAACTTTCGACCCTTCCTTACTGAAATTACAACTATTAGATATTGTGAAACAACACAGACCAAGACATGATAAATATGTCATAGATGAAATGGCTAAAGCACACCACAAAACAGTACTCCGTTTGCCGCCTTACCACTGTGAGCTCAACCCCATTCAGGTCATATGGGCCAGATGTTAAGAATTTTGTTGCTGCACACAATACAAAATTTAAATTTTCTGACATGCAAGAGCTGTTCAGAATTGCTATACAGAGGGTCACACCAGAAATATGGCAAAATGTGTGCAGCATGTTCAGGAGAAAGTGGAGGTAGCAATGTGGGAGCTGGACAACATAATTGAGAGAGATTTTGAATCGATCATAATAAACATTAATGACGATAGCTCCTCAAGTGAGTCTGAGTAAGTTTCGCGTTTTTGTTTTGTCACAGAATACATATTATGGGAATCCTAGTTATAGTGAAATATTAACTTACAGATAAACTACAGACAATGCAAGTCCGAAGTGCACTTTCAAAATCTATTTTCAATTGATTGAACAGCCTTATATTTATTCCATGTACAAAAGTGTCAACTCTACCCCTCGTTGACTACGGATTCATTGTGCATAGTGAGCAGCTGGTTACCTCTGGTATGTATTTCTCCATGTTGTCTAGTTTGAAAAACCCCTTCAAGAATAAAAATTTGATTTTGCGACACCCTTAACTATAACTACTTCACTATATTAGATAATTTCGTTAAATACTGTCATCTTTGTTTTACAACACGTTGGTGGTAGTCCATCATTCGGAGGTAGCCCTGAATGCGGCCCTGTACGCCGTCCTTGCTTTTGGCAATCACGCATCCATTCTATCTTGGGTGTAAATACACTTTAGTCAGGTCGAAATTAGAATACTACTAATATGAAACCCAATTTACAATATTTGCAAAACATGTATCGAAAAGGTTCAAAAAAAATTTCTAAAGTACTTATCTTTCAAGCTTGATAGGGTATATCCACAAAGAGGTAGTGATTATGCTTGTGAACAGATTCAACTTTCAAACTTTAGAGAACCGTAGAGTTCAGGCATCTGTTTTGTTTTTGCATAAACTACTAAATGGCAGAATTGACACTGTTGACCTGTTAGAACAGCTAAATATCTTTGTACCGAGACTTAATGCTAGAGATCATTACAGGTTTTTATGTGAAAGAGCTCAAACAAACATATTAATGAAAGCACCTGTTAATCAAATGTGTGCAAGCGCGAACAAATTGTCTAACGTCTGTGACATTTTCTGCTTCAGTTTTTCAGAAATAAGAACCCAGTGTCCTGTCAATTTGTAGTTTCGCTAAAGTTAGTTTTAGGTAAATTTAGCACATTAATTGTTTTTTATTACCCATTGCTCTATAAATGGTGTATACTGTTGGGCAATATATGCTTTATTATTATTATTATTTATTATTATTAAAGGTAAGTTATGTCCAATCGACTTATTTTGAGTATACAAATACGTGATATGGCTTTTGACGGTTACGTCGCAATGTCATACGATCTTAGTTTGCAGTCTTACTAGATGTATCATATGCGGAGCTCATCTTCGCTAAGGGAAATTGCACACTGTGCAAGTCGATCCG